AAATAACTTTCATTATATTTTCTATAAAAAGTTTTTTCAATATTTTTAGTGCTAGTACATTTGTAGAGACATAAGGTTAAATGGAAAAGCTGGAGAGATGAAAAATGAGCAAACGCCTCTAACCGTGTTCCTCTGGAATACGCGCTCAGCGTGCAGACCACTACACCACGAAGGCACGTCAAAGAAGGCAGGAGAAATACCTTATATAAGCCTCCTTTTAAAGGACGACTGGGGTTTTTAAAGAAGCCAATCGCTAAATCCTGGGTGGGGAGAATCATCATTCACCACCCTTTTAGTTAGGGCGCCACTGTAGAGACATTAGTTTAATTGGAAAAGCCGGTGAGATGAAAAATGAGCAAACACCTTCGCTGGGAATCGAACCGCTGGAATACGCGCTGAGCGTTCAGACCACTACATCACGAAGGCACGCCAAAGAAGTCGGGAGAAATACCTTACACATTCTTTTCAATATTCTTAGTGCTCGATCCAGCAACTGTGAATCATCACTTTTCCGCTCCTAGCTATTTTTTCATCCTGAAAATCTAGGTTTGTTTCATTATTTTTTAACAAACATTTAAAAGAGCAATATATTACGAGTTCTTCAAAAACAAACGACGATATCCTCAAATCGCATAGAAAAGTGAGGAACACAAAACAAGAAGACAAAATACTTGCTGTTAGAGACTGCAAATCGACGTAAATAAATTATTCTTATTGAAAACAGAGTAGTATGAGCCCGGAAATGGCGGCGACATAACGTGTAGACATGCTAACAAATCGATTAGCTCTAAAAGAATTAATGAGATACTATTATCTTTTTATAGGAATTTATTTTTGTTTCTTGTTAAATACAACATCCATTTCTATTACTCCTTTTAAGAGCATCGTTTATGACAAATTTTGTTATGTCTATGACTAAAAGAATATTTGTGAAAATAAAAACGGATTATTTTGCGAAAGTCTGTAAGCGGCTATTGACTTTGAGCAAAGCTCAGATTGCATACATTTTAGAGTGTTAGAGGAAAAAAAAAAGGATATTGGTGTATTTAAATTTTTAATTTAATAGTTAAAAATAATTTTTGTGTTTGTTGTCTGAAATCCGGACATAATGCAAAGAACTGTAAGATTTCAATGAAATGTATATTATGTTCAAAGAGACATTTTTCGATAATATGCCCGGAACAACACAAAATAAATAATGATAAAAATAAGTCAGTTTGGGAAAATAAGGTCTCTAGAGTGAAACAACGGAAAATGTACAATGTAGTGATATATTGCACTCAAGTTCTTTTCCTAATCTTGAAGTTTTTCTAGACTCGTTGCAATGTTGATCGGTAATAGCACTGAGTGTCATTACGGGGTTATTGACACGAGATCACAGAAGTCATATATTTTAAGGCCTTCAGCTTTAAACATGAATTACGAGCCAATTAAGGAAAAAATTTGTGCAGCACTCTTTATTTGGAGGAACAGTAACAAATGAATCGAAACGTAAATTTGATAAGATTTATCTAGGTAATCTTGATGGCAAGTCGATTTGCAGTCTTGAAACATTATACCAAGAAATGATTTATGGTGAAATCCCGCGAATTATCTATGGACCTTGGATTCCTCAACTTGAAACTTCTAATATTATTTATTATAAGTAGCATGCAAAAGGACCCAAATAATATTGAAATAATAACTGGATCAGGTGTCGCAGGAAAACTCTTAACAAGTGAAAGAAAAGAACTTAAAGGATTTTAGTTGCCATGAAAACTGAATTAGGCTGGACGTGAATGAGAAAAGTTATTGGAAGTCAGAATAGAAGAAATGTAAATATGACTCTAACTTCAATGCTTGCTTCGCTGGTGGACCCATCTCCGTCCTGCCACGCCGCGCAGGTTTGGGAAGCGATGATGGAATGTTCTTTATTGGGATATGATCATTGTGGTATGTATGAATACATTGTAAACGAAAACGTTTTTTAATATGATCCAACTTCTAGGACACCTATGACCATGTATATATGTGTTGATTTATTTAGTTATAAAAGAGGCACAAATTGATTCGGGTGGTTGGGAACTCAGTTGTTTAGAAACTTCTGAACTTGAAACTAACAAGTCAAATGTTTTGAGACTATTATGGGATATAGAAGCTGATACTCTAGAGATTAGTTCAGAAGGCTTGGAATTTAAAGAAGACGTAATGGTGACTAAAAAAAAAACCTGTCCGCTTGTAATCGAATTTTCGATCCAGTAAGGTTTATGTGTTCTGTATTGTTATGTCCTAAACTTTTATTGCAATCTACCTGGAAGACTAAGGAAGCATAGAATGCTGATTTTAATAATGATGTAAAGAAAGAATTTTTGAAGAAGGTGATAGACATACCATACTTAACCGATATAAAAGTCCCTGGATGGTGTGGTGAGAGTACAGAGGTGAAATTGAGTTTGCATACTTTTGCGTGATCTCAGTTAACTAGCGTACACTGCAGCAGTATTTATCAGATTCGAATCAGAGCATGGGATATTTGTACAATTACTATAAGCCCGATCAAGCATTACTCCAATGAAGAAGATTACCAAGGCTGGAATTACTAGCAGTTGTAATTAGAGCTAGATTGCATAAGCTGGATGGTTGCATAAGCAGTGATACAAGCTCTTAAACTAGACGCTATAGAATCTTTCTTTTAGACAGACTGTCTGACGCAATGACCAGTGGTTAGATTTGTCAGTAACAGAATAACAGAAATAAAACAACCGATTTCCTCAGATCTATGGAAAGATTATAGGTGATCAGAATCCTGCTGATTTACCTTCTCGGGGACGTGCAGCAAATCAGTTGCTGAAATCACGATGGTGGAAAGTCCGCAGTGGCTAAAAGAATGCATGGAATCTTGTTAAAAATCCAACAGTTTTGAACAAATGAAGGATTCGATGTAGATGACACGTTACTAGGTTATAGCAGCTTCTATTCTTATGAATGTTATAACACCGATCGCAAAATCTCACGAGGCACGTGGCGGTAAATGCACATAAAAGGAGTAATCACACGTCCGATAGAGCTTTGGAAGTTGCCGCAGATACATTGAGCTTTGCAACACTTCATGACACAACCCAGATATAACTATCGTGTTCAGCTCAACTTTTCCGTTCGGCCACTGCTGGGTCCATCTGCCGCGCAGCGCAGGTTTGGGTAGCGATGATGGAATGTTCTTTATTGGGATATGATCGTTGCTTTATGTATGAGTACATTGTGCACTAAAACGTTTTTTAATACGACCCAAATTGTTGGACACTTATGACAATGTATATATGTGATCATTTATTTAGGTGGGACAACTTGATACTGGATGAGAGTTTGACTAGGGAAAGCACCAATTCACTTTTCATCATGGCCATCATGGCCGAAAAAAACTGCTGCGTAATGACTGGAATTTTTACAAAGAACAACTAGCTAGATAAAAAGACACCATTTTATTTTCAGGACATAAACAATTCTTTGGAAGCACATTCTGAAGACATCACGTAGCACAATGGGTACAATCTCTACCCCATAATTTTATACAAAACGCAGTTACATTTTAAAACAATAGAAAATACTGCGGAGCAGCGATCACGGGTTATGCAGGCGGCAGCAGGCAAGAAAGTAATGCGTAAAATCGAATCGAATCAATCCTTAATATTCCGCGAATATCGCGCAGAGAGCGACGTGTCCGGATCAATGACACATATTGCCATAAAAGCATATAACATTAATTCAGTCATGTAAATATTACAGTAAGACCTGTAAAGGAGAAGCAGTGAGTGGAGGCAAAGTGGGCCAAGAAGATAAAATGACCCGACATCGCAAATAAGGAAGAACTGGAGTGTACGAAAAACCAAGTCAATAAGTGTACTAAAATTAACTAGCAGTGGTTTAAAGTAAGAAAATCTCCTAGTGTAAAAGAATACAATGTAAAACAAGTACAATGAAAGACAAAACAAATGCAAAAAAGAATACGGAAGGAAAATGTGAAAAAGGACTAAATGATAGGAAGATCAGTCTCTTTGTGGTGTGCGGCAAATGGCCTTAGATCATAGTCTTCTTGAAGTATTTTATAGCTGAAGAGATTAAATAAATTTAAGTATTGACATCCGAGTGCGTTATCGAAGAATTTTATATTTGTCTTGTTAAGATAAGTTTCAATATTGTCAAGTCTGAGATCTTCATGAAGTGTGACACTTCTGACATAGAAATGAGCATTAGTAATAATGCGAAGGAAACGATTTTTTTTTTTTTTTTTTTTGTAATTTTAGGAGATCTTTTTTTTTTTTTTTTTTTTTTTTTTTTTTTTTTTGTAGCAGAGATCCATGCAGGTGAAGCATAAACTAAAACTGGTTTGTTAATGGAGGTGTAAACAAGACGATTTTTCCCAAGATCCGTACTTGAATGTTTTCCAACAGTGGGAGTTAGGCTACTGATAACCTTATTTGTTACGTTTCTATAAAAAGTGTCAGTATTTAAAGTTTTGAATCTTTTGTTTCAATCCTGAGCAAAGATTGGGCAAAAGCTTTCGCATTGTAGAGAAATGATGATACAAAAATGATGAAATACGGATTGTTGAAGAGGGGATACATTTAAATTGAAAGCAGAAAATGAGAGGGCTATTTCCAATTAAATTAATAATTTCTTCCAATTCAGTTTAATTTGTTAATAATTTTCCTTCGTATTTTTATGTCTTGCATATGCAAATTATATTTGCGAATATATTGCGCATATTATGTTATAACCCCTCTCAATTAATACTTTAAAGAATTTTCTGATACTAATTTTAAATTACTTGTTAATAACATGAAATAGGAAATACTTGTTAATAAATTTTTTGGAGAACATTTAATAATACTCACACTGCATTGTTAAAGTTACAAGCTTAAATTATCTGCACAAAAGAGTATTTACATACTTAATTTAATAGAATTGTAATGTCTTTTTAATCTTAAAAATAGGGAAAAAAAAAGTGAAAAGAAAATACCAAAACGAATTAGATGCTTTTATTTAATACTTCTTCAAGCAGAAATAATATTAAATAAACATATATATATGTAGATAAATATATTACATAGCAAAATAATATACATCAATTATTAGTCATCAGGTAACGATAATATTTTGGTTTAAATTATCATCACATGTACAATTCTAATCCAGTTTCTTTCAAAAACACAAAAAATCACATATTTTTCTTCCTCAGTCGACTGTTTATCTATAAACTCCTTTGCCCCGTATTTAGATATTCTGGAATCACGTCGAAATACCAATGCAGTCTTTTAAACTTACCCTTTTTCTTCTCCCATTGTAGTAAAGTTACTAATATTTTTCGTTCGGACGAGATAAGAATGAAGCAGTCGTAGCCTCATGTCAACTGTTTATAACTGAGTTGATGCGGCGTATCAATAAATATTGAGTTATAGCATTGGGGAAACCTCTTTCCTAGCAATTAACAACACAAAATCATTTAGAAGCTCTCCTAATAACTATAAAAGATTATTTATCAGTAATACCTTCTTTATTTTTAGCATTTTCCTCAATGCACATTTTTTAAAAGTTCCTTAAGTTATTTTAGCTATAGCAATATTGAGTAAAGCTACACAAGCAATAAATTCTCTAAGAAATCCTGTAATCAAACCTTCAAACTCAAACGCCTGTCCTTAACACCTACCTAATTTTCTGATTTTTCCCTTTCACTACTACTTACACTGATTATATTTCCAAACGCATTCGGAATTTTTACAATATTTACATTTACATTAAATATACATGCTAAAGAACTTAACTACTCCATAAAAGAATTAATATCGTCTTAAAAGAAAGCAGCCTTTCTTTCGTTTATGTACATAAAAAGAGAGTTCATGTAAAGCATTCTCTTTCAAAAGCTGCCATTTTTCATAATTTCAAGATTCATTGCATCTCTGTATCGCTTTTTTTATAACTTATGCCCTTTAAGTGAGACGTCCTCTGGGAACAAAAAATAGGAAAACTAGTTAGCTATTGTAAAGATTGCTTTTTCAATCGTAGTATATATTTTGACTTTTAACTCTAAAATAAATATTTCACTAAAAGAGATCTTATCTTAAAGTAAATAACATTAAGCGCTGCATAACGTTATCTTCTAGGAGACAGTTTATAGAAGAATGCATAATCAAGAATTACTTCCTTAGTATAAAGACATTATTTATAAACTAATTCGACTTATAAATAATACCTTTACGCTAGATTAAGTCGCACAGAAAGTTTCCTTCGCCGTTTTCTTGCTCTCCAATTTCTTTAATTTGCTGTATATTAATAAAAAATTAATGCAGAATATTTGCTTCTCTAAAACTTTTATTGCTCTTCAAATGAAAATGTTTTGTATTCTTCCGAACGGAAATTTTATCGCTTTTATATATTTCCCTTTTGTCTACTTAGAGCATACAAAAGGTGCAAAGGTTTTCAGTTTAGTACATTTTTAATTCATCTTACAAAAGAAAATTTTACTCTTTAAAGCATGACTATAATCAATTCTTGTAAAATTCTTTTGGATGCTCATTTTGTTCGAAGTTTCCCTGGATAATGTTAGCCTTTATCTAAATTCTTCAATCTTAATTCTATTTCAGGTATATATTTCGGGGAAAAACTATTTAGTTTCAGTGAACACTTGATTCGTTTGGTTTTCTTTCATCAGAATATTAAAACAAATGGTAACACATACCTTAATTTATATCCAAGAATAATAACTCAGCACACATAAATAAAACGATGCAACTAATTATCTTAAACTTTAAGCAGATAATTATTTATCTGAAATTCAAGCTTCTTCTTCTTCCAGTTTTCCAAAGAAAGTTTGGTAAGACAGTCTAGTCTGATACCAGCAATCTTAGCTCCTGCAAAATTTTATCTAAATTCTTCTGTATTTTTTATTTTAGGCATAAGTATTTCAGATACCTTCTGTAATCGTTTGGAACAACTAATAAGTTTCGCTGCATGCCTGATTATCATTCCAGAAGCATATTATTTTCAAGAAACTAAAATCCCTTCTTTGAATCACTTTTAGTTACAGGAGAAAGGTAATTCAAAAAGAAGTGTTAAGCCTAACTTTTTGTATTCTACGACATGCAGCCATTCGTTTTGGCAATTTCTAATTATTTTAAATGAAAAATTAGTAAATTATTATTGATTTTCTATAGTCATTGTAAATGTTAAATCAAAATGTCAGTAAATTTTTTGTGAAAGATTTCATAAAATTTCTGGTATTATTAGAATTGAAATAAGCCGTTCTTTAGCTGATACAGACAATTTTTAAGTTTGAGTAGGAATCCTAGAAATTAATTTCACTTATATAGTGAAAAATAGTTTTTTTTTCGTTTGAAAATCACGGAACTTTTGAGAGAATGATTTCATATGGAATGAAACAAAGTTATATTTTGGCTATGCCTAAATGATCTTACATACGGATGCAGCGTATTTTTTCCCCTCCAATAATATTTCGTGTTCTCTATAATATACCATACATTTTCTAATCGCCATGCATCAGTTTTATTTTCTTATATTTATCATATCTTCCAATCGGTATATATTAATTATTAATCTTCATTTAATAAAATTCGTTTTGCCTGAATTATAGAACAGTGCATTTAATTAGAGAACAATACATTACCTATAGTGCATAAAGAATCGGACTTAGAAGCCATAATCTTGACAACAGAACAGCAATTTACTAGCATGTCAATCTAGTATTATTTTTCGGATAAATATGTATCGTAAATTAGAGCATTGTTCATGCTAGATGTATTTAAATTTTTGCAGTTTCAATATTTGACAGTTAGCATAAGCAGCCATCGAACGTTTTATGGATTAACACTACCATCTCCAAGACAAATCAGACAATTAAGGGAAGAGTGTGTCAGTTGAATAGCTAATCGCATTATGACAATAGCCAAAGAAAAGGAACTACGAAATCAATCATGCTTAAGTTGTTGCAACAGACACTGATAACCATCCAGAGGCTAGAGATATCAGCCATTGCAGCGAGGAAGAAATGATAGTTAAGAGCAAAAAGTGAAAGTTTTTATCCAAGATATACCCTTGGCAGAAGCTTAAGAAGGATTTATCTTAAAGTGAATGAATGCTATTCCGTTCTACTTGGAGAGTTCGAAGACAAAGGGGGCAAGGTCTATGACTGAGCTTAGGTTCGCTTTGTTGTTTCTGGAAGATACGGAGAAACAGACGTTTTTACCCATCTGATTGTCATGTAGAATTATATAGTAGAATAATTAAAATTGTAAGTTTCGTTTCACCTGGAGCGTTTTTAAGTAAGTTGATGAATAAGGAAATAATCTTTAAAATGGACATAATTGTTCATCAAAGATATTCGTGTAAATAAAGCACATATATTTAAAAAAATTTCAATTTTAAATGATTTTACAAATCAATTTTGAAGAGAATTTAATAGGGAAAAGTTGTCTTTAATGTTTCTGGAAAATGTCACTAACAAAGGGGACCTGTAACAAAATTTTCGTCATTTGAGATAATTTAACTGACATCTCTCTACTAATTATATACGGAATGGAAAAGATTGATAAACGTTCTTAGTTCTGTAGTACGTTAATATATGCTATAGTTCTTCTTGCCACGGTGCTATGCTTCATCAAATAATATTTACCTTTCTTACACTGAAGCTTAGCATACAATAAAGATTCAAATAAACACATTGAATAAGATACTTGCTGTTATTAATTTCTACACTTCATATAATTCACTTTCGAACTACCAATTAATTTAAAAGTATTCATATAAAACTAACTTCTTGGAAAATAATCATACCAAGAGAGAAATTATGATGAAGTTTACATTTAAAATATCATTTTATGTTTTCACCATACATAAATTGTGTATTACTTCACATTCAACAAATTATAAATTTGCAGAATACTTGAAGAGTTTTGAAGAGTCAAAATCTTCTCAAACTTTTAAAGAATAAAGATAAAAGTGTCAATTATCGTTTTAAAAACTGAATCCTTTTAGATTTTAAATTATTTTCATATAAACCATTAAAATAATGAATTCGTCCGATTTAACAGCATTTTGGAATTAAATGTCTATTCAGTTTATTCAGCCGAGAAAGAGCACAGCTTGATTGTTCGCCGCGTTAAACAGCTGGCATTCCAAAGCTTCTTCAGACGATAAGAATGTGTTCTGCGATAAGAAGCGAAATCACACTGTGAGGTAAAACATCTCATTAATTATTATTATTATCATTATTTTACTATCAGTTCTGAAGTTACTAGTTCTTCAATCTCTGTGAATTTTACGCCGTCTTACAATTCGTAATCTTTTCCCTGGAGGAGGACTGGCTTTACCTTCTCTGTAAGTTGGAATATCATCCTCTAAGTACTTGACGGAGATTTTTGGTTGTTTTCGTAGTTTACGTCTAGCTACCCTCTTCTTTGGCAAAGATTTTGGAGTATAAGATGCCTTTTGTGTCGGTTCATCACTCACAGTGGAGAAAGACTGCGAACTGCTAGAATCGTAATCTATAGGTACCGTTTCTTCATTGTCGTGTCTCACCTTTGGTGCAGGTGCAATTTTGACTGGATACCGCTGCACTTGAGGACTGGCGGCGGCTTGTATAGGTCTAGAAAAACTTTCATCGTAGCGACGAGGACCTTGATCCAAATGGGAGAGATCACCCTGTGTTGCCTCGAAGTCTTGTATGTGACGTAGGAAACTGTTCGGTTTGGTGTCAGCATCAAAAGGCTGCAGTTGTGGGGAAGGGAGAGAACCACTTTCTTGATAAGAAGCAGCATCCAGATTTTGGTGACTTTTCTGGACTGGTTCTCGGTACAGATCAAAATTGATATTATAATTTACTAATGAACTGCCGCAGTCAACGTTGAACCACCAATTGCAAACTCGTGTCAGCTGATCAAAAACAGTGCCATTGGGACACAAAAATCTGTCATGTCGTCCATCTGGTTGACAGTAATGCCACATCTATAGAAAGAAAAATAAATAATATGGATACAAAGAAAGTAGTAAAAGATTTTACTTTAAATAATTAAATTATTACAAAAAATAGAATAGAGACTCTTTTTTTTTTTCTTTTCGTGTGTGTGGGGGCTGTTCAAATAGAAAAGCTAGGTGTCTTTTACGTTAAATGATCTTGTTCATCAACGATATTTAATGTTTAATAAGTTAAAGGAAGCCCAAGAAATATGAAGTACTTATATGTAAGGACTTAATGACCTGTTTGTGCATTCTCCTCGCTGACAGCCGTAGTTCCTGAGCTATTGTAACCGATGTTCATCTTCTAATAAGTCTGGTTGAACAATGATTTGAATCTAGGTAAATTCTCTCTTAACTTTAGAGCTGAGCGTGTTCTACCCATGTGAGATGATCACGATCAGTTAACTATTTATATACGTTGTATATCTAAAATGTTATTTTTCATGAAGCAGTCATTTTTGCTTTATATGAAATGTGTACAAAAACTGTGTTTTCTCTCAGTCTACCAGTATTATTTGAATTCTGTGCGTTATGTTATATGGAGACGGTACAGTATTGTTTTCGTTTTAAAATATTTTTTCTCAATATCTTTCCTTTTATTTTTTTCATTCATTCGATATCAAGCAGTACCATGTTCAGAACAACATTATTAAGTGGTGTGTATCATTAAAATACTCTTTACTAATTGAAACTGAAGAATCATAAAATATGTTTCAAAATAAAAGATAACGTTACATTGTAACTTTATCACCTTGATTGGGATAACATACACGTTATTAGTTGATAAGTTACGACCTGCCATGTGTGAAATGCTATTTTAATATTTTCTGTTTATTTGAATTATGTACTTTGTAGATGTAGAGTTTTGTATGATGTAGAGTTTTGTAGATGTAGATTTGTATTATGTAGAGTTTTACCTAAATTTTTGTATAATTGCGAGAACCAAATTTTAGCTATATCGGACATTATTCCACACATCTCGAGAATTTTGTATGATCATGTCCTACTTCAGGGTGTGGGTTGAAAAAAAAAAAAGAAATTTGTAGTCTAGCATTATAGAAAACAACGTAAGCAAGCAGGCAGCTCACGAGAGTGCTGATCGGAACTCTGAAGCATTGTTCGCGAGTTTTCCATAGTGTTATCTCAAAGATTTTGTTTAATAGCTTTGGCTAAAGGCTTGAACAAGAGCATTTAGAACACATAAATTGGTTTTGCTACATTTCATTAGAATAACTGTGTTTTATTTTATCACTTTGTTTTTATTGCAGCTGTTATCATTCAATTAACTCTGTCAGACCTTGTAGAAACGTTAAGTTATTTGGAAGCAGGAGTCATGAAAAATGAGCAACACTTTCGGCGGGAATCGAACCACGGACCTCTCGGATACGCGTCGAGCGTGCAGACCATTACACCACGAAGGCACGCTAAGAAGGCGGGAGAAATACCTTAACCTTTTACTTCTTTAACACTTTTTTAATTTCTTTTTTCACTTCTTTCAACTATAATAATTACCCAGTTTACTCTCTTTATATATCTATTTATAGTTTAATTAAATGTGTATCGGAATTTGGTTGAAAAATACAGTTTTGTTCAGAACATCATTTCTGATCTGAGCCATATTCTAATTAGAATAATAACAATGATAAAAAAAATAATATTTATATTAAACTTTCCTGGAGAACAACCAAAATCTATTTTTCGTTTAGTTATTACTTAATAAAGGAAATAGTGGATTTGAAGTTTCAAAATTTGTGAGGGGGGGGGAATGGAAGATTTTATATACAATTCAGGTAACTAAGAAGATACTTTTATATAAAAGAATGGAAAAATTAAATCGTTCTTGCATATACAATTACTTTTACAGAAACTTCAGTAGGAACTACCTTGGTAGTAGATCGATATTTTACATAAGGAATTAATCAGGAGTTAACTATTTACTTCTCAAAATTTAATACACCTTAGCCTTTCTGGGATAATTATTACTGACGAAGAACAGAGACGAAAAGTAAAGAAAAATTGAATTCTGTTAATAATAGAACAGTGTTTGTGCTGATGTGATATGTAACTCTGTAATAAAATAGTTTTCTGAAAACGTCGGCAAAGAGATTTTTAAATCATAAAAATAAAAGGAATCGTATAAAACTTAGTCAGATCAAGGTTGCAGACTTATTAGCCCCATGCTAAAAGGTGAGCTTAGACGTGTTTAAAAAGTGTAACTAGTAATTAAAATGTTATTAATAAATATGTGCTGAAAATACTTCACTAGGCATTTTCTAAATAAAAGAATTTTACTTTAAAACAATATTTCACATCTATCTAATTAATAATATATCTAATCATAATCTATCTATATCTAATTCTCTTTTAGCGCACCAAGTGACAGTCATACATTTCATGAAATCTGTTAAGTAGGTGTTTAAAAAGATAGAGCATTGCGAAGAGTTTGCCATTTAATGTAATTATGGGAATCAGTGGTCAGAAGCTTTATAAATGTTTCATTTGTAAACTGTCTCATCTTCATGAATGTGTTTTCTGATATTTTGATGAATAATCTGGAGAACCACTTTTCTTTTGGTTTTTATGTATTATGTTTTTCCTGAGATATACCATTAGTCATATAATATGCTACATAGAATTTTATTTTGCATTATTTGAAAACACTGTAGAGTGGTTCTAAACATTTCACTTATAACATTTCACAAATAAAAGTGAAACACGCAAGCAAGCATAAAGTAGTTCAAAGCCAGCAAATGTTTGCCATCACGTGGCATGAAAAAATAACCGATAACTTGATGCTGCAATATAGTTTGTGAAAAAAAATAAATAGCATTTCTTGAAATTCGAGATCAAGATGTGGCCAAAGCACGCATGGGACAGACTAGAAATTAATGGTACTTTAACTTACATTGATTGATAGTTTAACTTATATTTTTACTTACATTGATCTGTTTAGATCTGGTAAGAAAAATGCTGCTGCGAGAAAATAAAGAAAAGCACACTTAAATTACCTAATATCAACGTTACTGAAATGCATTACAGCTGAATATCCTCCGTAGAAAGAGGAAACACTGCAAAATTTAACTTCTAATTTAAACAAAATAATAATAATAATAAAAATAATAACAAAAGATATGAAATCTTTTAGGTTTTGAATTATGCCCAGCCTTTTTTTTTTTTTTTTTTTTTTCATTATTTTCATTTACGAACGCACACGTTTCGAAAGCATTTGAGATAATGCCATATAGGGCTAAATATATTTGAAAACAGCATATCTTTATAATTTCCGATAGACAGTCTCTCGCGCCGGAGATAACAATATTTTATTCCCTACAGTGTTGCCGATGCTCGCTTTGAAATTGCTGAGTTTTTAATCGAAAATTCGTTAAAGTTTTACAGAATATGAAACAGACAACAAATAAATTCGAAATTCTGTCTTCCAGGTTCCTATGTTCGGGTAAAAGATTATGTTATTCAAAATTTGATGATTCTAGTTACCGTTGTTTTTCCACAATGCGAGAAACATACATACATTCACGTAGCTTCTTCATTATTTAGTTTCTTTGAATAAAATGCAGGAAGATAAAATTAAGTGGCCACAATTTGAAAAGTGATAGAGGCATTTATAGTGATTCGACGCAAAATGCCGTTTCGAGATTAATAGCAATTCTGGGCTAATAATCATATCCATAGAATATTGTAATATTCATAGATTATTGTGAGATCCATAGAGTATTGTTATGTTAAAGTGATCCATAGAAGTCCTCAAAGATCAATGCTAATTATTTTAGGGTTACTAAAGGTAGAATTTACGCAATTTAAGCTATAAGAACATAAAATCTTATTGCAATAAGTATGAGCCAGAGATTTTTCGAGAGCTGAAAGTTTTTTTAAGGGCCCTTGCATGATGGAAGGGTTGAAGAAAACATTAATACTAATTCAGAAGTCTAACAACAAAAATCAGTGTTATATTTTCAAATTTTCACAGGACTAGTTTCAATGGTTTTACCGAACCATCATCCAAGCAAAAGCGCTTTTGCAGCTGAAGATGATGGTTCGGTAAAACCATCGAAACTAGTCCTGTAAAAATTTGAAAGTATAACGTTGATTTCTGTCATTTGAGCGCTTTTGAAGCTGAGGATGAAGGTTCGGTAAAGCCATCGAAACTAGTCCTGTGAAAATTTGAAAATATAACGCTGATTTTTGTTGTTTGAGCGCTTTTGCAGCTGAGGATGATGGTTTGGTAAAACCATCGAAACTAGTCCTGTGAAAATTTCAAAATATAACACTGATTTTTGTTGTTTGACTTCTAAATTAGTATTTGTTCGGCGTGTTATTGTGTCTTAAAACCTTAATATTTATGTTCACGTTTCGCCCAGACTGGAAAATGGTTAATGACTGTGACTGCAGTACTGAAGGGCCCGGGGTTGAATCCTAGAGAAGGTATGGGTGTAAATTGTCTGTCCCCACATAGAAGGCAACGGTGGACCATCTATTAGGTGCCTCCATAATAAAGTGACCACCGCTTTTGGCATTAGTAGTGGCTTTAAACGGCTATTGCCTGCCATAGGAAATTAAGGGAAAAAAAGTGTTTACGTTTTGAATCGTGGGGTAAAACATTCGTAGTGAAAAATTAATTATCTACGACTAAATGAATTCACTGCCAAATCGTAAGTAGTGAGCTATTTAATTATGTATAGTTTTTTTATATGTATAAAGTATGTACTACTTTTCTGACGGCTATAAATAAAGAAATATAGGTTTGAGACTTACCTGGCATTTTGTTTCTACATCGGCATAAAACCCAGGAGTTGCTGTATGCTCTAAACATTGAAATCCTGTCCACGGGAGATAAGAATAAGTTGGATAATCCACACCAGGCGATCCAGGAATAGCTGACAAGTCGCCGTAATCTGGTGGATAATATTCCTGAGGGGCAATTTCGTTCTTATAATCGTAAGGATGCTCATTCTGTTGGAAAGAAGTAAAAGAGAGAAAAAATAAAAAGCTAGTTAAATATACAAATTATTATTTATTAATAAGAATTTCTTAATTATAGAGTCTGCATGCAAAACATCAAATCATAAAAATCCAATGTTAAGTTTGATGAAACTCCTTTTGCATGTGAAAAACGTGCCATTTTAGGAGCTCAAAACTGTGTATAAAAATGAGCAAAAAAGTCATATTCCCTTTACAGAGCCAAGTTTTGTGTATATTATTGCGTGCGGACGTGTTCTTAATAGATTGAATGCACACAGGCCCAATGATAGGTTAATAAAAATGTATTTTATGAAAATAAACACTTCAAAGTTATCGAATGTTCTTCAGAAATACTCGTACAAGAATTAACAGTATTACAGAGTACAAGCGGTAGTTACCCATGAAATTACTAAGAACGTTAAACACAACGTGATGCATCTAAAGAGAAAGCTAACTCGGATGTCTCAGTTGATGTGGGACTAACAACTCGCAACAACAATAACTAAGCAACTGATAGCAGATGCTCTCTCTCCGGCTCTAAACCGGCCACCGATATATTTTTAGTACTTTCTGCTTCTCGAAATTACTAGAAATCATTACGAGGGTGGAATTACGGTTACATCTAACATAGTGGTCAATTGCATTTATTCAATTTCAATAAATATTACAGGGATACAGGGATCAAATCATAATGTCGCCAAATTTAGCGACTTATGGCGAATTCTCGCCTAAACCGTTGTTAGCTTGGCGATATCTCGCCAAATAACAGAGATACCATTACCGTTGAATGCACTTACCCCTGTGTTTTTACTTTTCCGGCATAGCTTTTCTTTAGATTTTTCATGTTACAAAAGAAATACAACAATTTTATTAATAATTCTACTAAAATTATCTATAAGTATACAATTTGTAACAACATTTTACTGCTAAATAGTGAAACACGTTTTTTCATAGAATACATAATTATTTCATGAAATGACTGATCAAATTAGTTATTTCATAAAATAATAATCGGCGCCCCTTTAAAGTATAAAATAACCGACATGGTACTTCTCTCTTGTTAGTATTATGTACAATAGTGTAATAATTGGGAAGATTTTAATTAAAGTTATGAGTGTAATCATTTACACGGAATATTTTTGTAATTAACTATAACTTTCTGAACACAACCTATAAATATTACTGTAACCGAGTCGTTGTTCTGCTTAAGACTCTCAGAACATCAGTAGTCACCGTTTATTATCGCAGAATATGATAATGAAGTACTGATTGAAAAAATAAAATACTGCCATTAGTAATATATAGGTGCTTAGTTTGTTAAAAAGAATGCAATGATGTAATGAGCCTGTCGATACATTATATTTAGAACGTTAAAGTTTTGAAGCCAAATTATACGAAAGACTTGCAAATTTGTTTTAATGAAGTGAACGCTGACAGGGAAAGATAAACCTCTAAAGACTATTTGGAAATTCTAGCTAAGAAGACAAAAAATTGAAACAGAAAACTCGCCAAAATGAAATATAAAATTAGCAAAGCCACAGCCTTCTGCATGGCGTAGATTTAGTCAAGAACTCAATCGATATCAATCGATTTAGTCAAGAACTCAATCGATATCAAGGACAAGCAGGTACAGATCCATGTTCATCATCTTTACTACTGTAGGGTATATAAATACGACCGTTTGCGGTTTTTCAGTCTTGCAGATAGATTTCTTTGTTCCTGATGAAAAGGGCAGACTTCAAATAGAGTCGGAGCGCACCGGAACCCTAAACAAGAAAGCTCCGGCACTTCTTTTATCCAAGTGAACAATAAATTCAGCAGAAATTTAATCTTGAAAATTTTAGTTTTAATAATAAAATTATATATAAAACGATTCTCTGTACCTTCTGAATGTATGCCTCTCTTTCTTTGGGAAACAAACCCTTGGATGCGAGTCGAGACTTTTAAAGAAAGAAAAGCCCCTGCCATGTCAAAGGCTTATTCTTCAGAAAGTACAATGAATCTATTAACAGAGCTTAAATTTTTCATTCCAACGCTAGTGTCTTTCTGCGGAAAAGAGCACCTGCAAACTTTTTGGAAAGCTGTAAACCAAGATAGGGGATGAAAATTGTCGCTTGTTCCTTTCTTCTCAGCTTGTAGAGACATTAGGTATTTTTTGAAAGTAGGAAAGAGGTAAAATGAGCAACGCTATGGCCGGGAATCGAATCAAACGGACCTCTGGAATACGCGCCCAACGTGCTGACCACTACACTAAGAAGGCATGTTAAGAAGGCGGGAGAAATACCTTATAAGCTAACCTCGGATTCCCAGAAAATTTGTTTCCCTGTCACATTGTCCTTGACAGCTAGAACTATATTGAAAGAAGGTCGTGGTTAAAATATGTTAGACTCTTCTTGTTTTGTTTTTATACGTAGGCATCATGGATTAAAATATTCTCTATATTCTGTTACTGTTTAGAGCATTCTTTCTAGTCTCATTAGTGACGCTTTAACCACTTTAATATTTTTCATTGGTGTACTGGAGAAAAAATGGTCTATATTTCTATCATCTCTTGAAGAAGTGCATTATATTCAGATTAAATTCAACTAGAGACAGGTTGAGCTAATTCTTAGTTTGCGTGTGAAATTTAAATTTCAGACGAAATACCAGATAAGTGAAGGTCCAGTACTTTATTTTACTTTCTAACTATTTACCGTTTATTCAATAACTTAATAAATTGTTGTTTATTTCTTTACTTTTTAAAATTTAAATGATTTAATTATTATAATAATTTATTATTTCAATAATTAATTATTTAATTTTTTAATTAATTATTTTATTTATTTATTTCCTTGTTCCTGTTTCCTCACGGTCTTCCATAGCGCTGTGGCACTTTGCTTTCCCAGTTCTAAGAAGAAGAAATCAATGTGAGATATATCTAATTTTGAAGCTTTTATGGGGCTCACATTCAATAGCCTAGTATCTGAAGTTGACAGAGGAAGAAAAGACGCCAGTTCTATTTTAGCTGTTATCATGAAAATAACAGAAGAAGGATATTTTAAACTGGGTACAAAGAAACTGCATCATGAAATAGCTGTGTTCCTGATCCCAGTTCAACGTCTGCGAATAAAAACTAAAGTGCCGGATATAAAGCAATCGCTCCGACTGGTTGCTACAGCTCAAAGTTCAGATATAGCTCAGGGATTTAAAACGCAGTGTGTCAACAAAAAATATATTTGTTCTAGAAATAATGTTATATGCAATTCTAAGTAACATTTTAGTAACCTATGTTCTAATAAACGACTTTATTGTGCCTTTTGTATAAATAAGCTTCTGTTTGCTATCTAATACAGTTAATTAATTTATTTTAAATTTTAACTGTCTATCATTAATTAATTAATGGAATGACTAGTTACTCTATGAAATAACTAACTAAAGTGTAGAGTTACTAATTTACTACACACTTTAACTAAATTGAACAGTTATTTCATGAAATAACAAGGTATTCTATGGAATACCCTATATTCCGTTGTATAACGCGCACTTTTTAATACAAAAAAACAAGATCTAAATTTAGGGGTGCCCGTTATGCGCCAGATATAACAATGATTCTTTTAAAAGTAAGAAAAGGAAGAGCATATGCTACATGTATCTATGTACGGTATATACAATGTAGCATTTAAAATGTACATACAATGTAGTAAAAGCATTTAGCATGTACAATATAGCATTAATGTACATGTGTAAAGCTACATGTACCTAAATGCTGTTTGTTTAAAAGAAATGGCATAACTTATGAAGTTAAAAATTTTCATTATCGGATAATTTTTAACTATCGGATTATTTCCTTTACGTAAAGCTTATTAACTGTCGTGCTTTCGTTCACTCAGAGAAAATATCGGACTCCTAATTCCGCGAATTCATTCTAGTCAGAAATGCATTCTTATTCGAAATGATGTCTCTCTTTTCTCGAAACCATAGAATAACATTCTTGCGCACACCTGCATTGAATATCACACACCACCTTTGCAGAATTATTTATTCCCTCAAGCATTTTATCCACACACATATTATCCCGCTTATCGCTTGCCAAAGCCTGAGAAAGCTCTTCAAATGAATGATTTTAAAAGATAAAGAGTATCGCACATGTATATCTCGGGTATCTTCTCAGAGAACAGGGTGCGAAATTATACGGCGAATATACCTAAAAGTTAAAAAAGTAATTTGAAATTATAGGTGCGCGTTATACACCGGTATATATACGGTAACTGAATTATACATCTTAACGGTAACATATGTATGTTAAAAGATTTAAATTTAGTTATATAAGCCAACAGAATTATTCAGCAGTGCCCTCCCACGAACGCTGTTTGACAGTTATGAATACGTGTAAAGGCAAAAATGGAAAACATTATGCATGTAAAAACAGGCAACTAAAAAGTAAAATGCATATCAAAATGTAACATTTTAAAATTGTAAAATACAAGAGAAAATGGCACATTTTCAGCGTAATTGTAAAAGTGTAAATGCTGAAGCAAACATCTTACACCACACAGAACTAACTAAATAAAAAAAAATCATTTTTTTAAATTTTAAAAATGAAAAAGATTCTATCGAAAATATACTTCAACAAAACAAATCTTAGCAGATTTCCCCTTAGATTATATTTATTTCTGCAAATGTTCCTCTCTTTTCAAACACGGTTTAAAAGTACTCAGCAGTTATGTCTCTTATATTTGAGCTATTAATTTGTTTTTCAATCCAAGTAGTCATTATACAGGGTGACCCCCAAAGTCCGTTAGCATTTAAAAATTCAATAATTTATTGAATACTGTAAGTACAGAGGTAACAGCTGTCACACATGATTGAAATGCCAGGGTTTTTTTTTTTAAGCAAAATAAAATGCTTAAAACGGCCAACAGATGGCGCTTCATATGATAACAAAAGCAATAATAACAAAAGCGTAAAAATTTATTTTTAGTAAAGGTTATGTTCTTTATAACAAATGTTCAACATGCAGATCGTAATTCATCAACAATACCTAAGTCGAGATACTGTATCCAACTGTAGTCGAGAGACAATGTTATGGACAGCACTGTATTGCGTATCTGTAGGTATGTGAGAAATTGTCGTACGATGTTTTTTAACATTCCTAATGAGGTCGGTTAATCTCGGTAGACTTGCGATTTCAAGTAACCACACAACCAATAATAAAGCGGATTGAGATCTGGGGACCTGAGAGGCCAAGCGTGACGGAAATGGAGGTTCAGCACGCGATCCTCACCAAACGATTTGTGCAAGAGATCTTTCACACGTGTAGCAATACAGGGTGGAACTCCATCCTGCATAAAAGTTATACCTTCCAACCGGTGTTTATCAGCCAGACTAGGGATGGTACTATTCTGTAAAATACCAGGGCACCTCGCAACCGTCACACTGATAGTTTGAACAGCAGAACCCTGCATTTCCACGAAGAAAAAAAGTTCCGATCACGACTGATGCGATGAATCCACATCACACTGTCACCAAGACAGAGAGATATGACTCGGACCAACACCCGAAGGTGAGGATCGAAAAGTGACAAAGTCCTGACGCGACTGATTCCCTCTGTCACTACAGCTCGTTTCACACTATTCTCATGCGGCGTCCTGACATTTTTCTGCCAAATGCCACATATTGGCCTTTTTTTTTTTTTTTTTTTTCCTCTTTTTTTTTTTTTTTTTTTTTTTTGGCAACTTATTTTTCTTAGACTAAAAACCCATGTCATTTTAAGCACGTGTGTAAATTTTTACCTCTCTAACTACATTATTCCATGAATTATTGAATTTTCAAATGTTAACGGACTTTTGGGTCATCCTGTACTTTCCCCTTTAAAGTCTCCGTTATAAAGCTGCACATATAAAAAAATTGTAAACTGTTTTGGTATGAAAAATGGTTTAAAAAAATGACGCCGCCTCTTTTACATCTCAAAAGTAATAATTCTTATCACAAGACACTTTGTGTATAATATTATGAATATCTCTCTGTCTTGTTTCGCAAGTCAATGAATTTTCGACACGAAACAACTGTCATATGCCAGCAATTCAAATCTTTGACTGATTGAACATGCATAAAGTGGAGTTACATTTTTTCTGCATGATATCAATAACTGAAAACAGCTCCATAAAATGTAAGTTACTTTCATGTTGTAAAATATCATTTTAAAATGACCACAAATAAGAAAAAAAAAAAGAAAATCGGAATGTTTTCAGATTTTAAATTACGTCCAAAGGAGCGTTTTTTTAACATTTTGTGCGTTACCTTTATTTATTAAATATCATGTTCTCCGCACTTAAGCCATAAAATTCAGTTCATGATCAATATCACAAAATAATTTTAAAATGAGCATATTTTTAGAATTCCCAATACGCAAACTCACGCGCTGGAGATAAAATTTTTTTTTCTGTACAAAAATGCCATTTCTCGCTTTGAAATCGTTTAGTTTTTCAGTAAAAAATTCGTTGAAGTGTTACAAAATACGAAATTGGTAATAAAACAAATTTCAAATTCGAATTAGAGCTTCCACATGCCCATATTCTATGGAAGATTACGTTAGTCAAATTTTGATGGCTTTATCACAATGAGAGAAACATATTTACATTTATGCAGATTTTTCATTATTTAATTTCTTCAGATATAATACAGGGCGATAATATTTGGCGGAAACGATTTGAAAAGTGATACAGCCTTTTAAAGCTTTCAAAGCAAAATCGAAAAAAAAAAAAAAAAAAAAAAAAAAAGTCCTTTAGGGCAAATTGACCCTTTGAACTAATAATTGTATACATTATTATCATTGAAAAATATATCTTACCTGAGGTTCTCCATATGGATAATCTAAAGGTACAGCAACGGGTCCATGGAATACTTTCTCTTCATGAGCGTTTTCTGGAGAATATGCAGAATAACTGGGTTCATTGGCATCAACATAAAATGGTTGATGTTGCTGATGATGTTCGTCTACTTGAATCAGATGGATGGGTTCGATTGGATGTAAATCTTTATCAGATTTAATATATCTTTCATCATCGTGTATTTCGATATTTACGGGTATTTTCTCGTGGGGAATCTGATCTGGAGAAACAATAATTGGCAAGTGGAATGATTCCTGGAATTTAAAAGAAAGTTTTATGAACGTGCATTGAATAAAACTACTCGCAAATATTTCATTTAGGATTGCAAAGTATATATTCCAGAAAGAATTAAGTTCAATATTTCTGAGATTTAGCATAGTTCTTTATTCTTAATCATAATACTCTATGTATTCTTTTTACACTAGAGTTTATTTCTTTCTCCCCCCCCTCTTTTTTTTCTTTTACTTTGCGTCGATGTATGCAGTGTATGGTAAAACGTTAATGTATGTTCTAATAATGATGACACAAATAGATTTTTAATAAATAAATAACATTTAACTATATAATATTAATTTATAATATTAAAAAAATAAAAAGCATGAAGTTCGTTCCACACGGATAACGCGCCATGTTAGACGTAACGAAAGCAATAATAATTAGCGAAGATTTTAATTTAACAGTAACGCTTTCAGCGATTCAAACACAGTCGCCTTTCTCAAATGCAATTAAATAAAATCCAAGTACCACAAATAAGAATGAGAGTCTGAAGAGTTTTTATCGATAACATTGTGCACTCTAAAAAGAAAAGTAACAAAGTTGTTACTTATGCTCACTTGTCTGACAGTAACATCAGCCCAAGCCCACTAAATTCCTCGTGGCAAAGAACGCAAGATACGCCTGTCGTTGGCAACAGCCTCGAGCATTTTACAGGTGGCAGTGCGATTTAGCTCAGTTCCACCCCCAATTTTGATGCACCCCAGGGGGCAACGGCTCCGAGGGCCCCCTTCTCTTCCACCAAAACCACACGAGAGGACTTTCGGCTCGCTGCCATCTCTCAACTACACTATACATTTACAAACATACATGTTTTTTCCGGGAATCGAAATCGGGTCCTTCAGCATGGCAGTCAACGACGCTAACCACTATACTGTTTGGGAGGCAGGAACAAAGTAAATGATGCTTATTTCTAGGGATTGTAAATGGAATCAGAACCTGTCTGCTTACAGACCAATGGAAAAATACCTAAAAATGTTTGCCAGTTGGTAAATTAGAACTTTTATAGTCTTTCCATATCCATAAAGATCTTTCTATATTAGCCAATGACTTCAATACTAACCCGTTTTCTCCACTCATCTATAAACAGATAATTTGCAATTCCATTTTCAGTCCCTAAATGGCATTACCTACCTTGTTTCTTTTTTTAACTTTCTTTTCCTCATTGTAAAGAGCGTCAAGGTGCTACTAGAATGTTTTCGAAAATTCTTCAGTCTCTTTTCTTGATTTTCTTGTTTGTGATATTTGTCTTTTATTTAGTTGCTAATTAAGAAGTTGATCATGTATGAATGGCCGAAAGCGCTTCTGTTAAAATGAAATTTATGCCGAATTATCATTGATTTTCTTAAGAGTCATCTTCAGTGTTGTTCAATGTCAGACAAAGTTTTAGAAAATGTGTTGTCTTCCATATTCGTATATCAAACTGATGAAATAACTTCTGATGGTTATTATGAATAAACAAAAGAAAGCCGTGTTATAACGTAATCTAAACGCCAGTAAATTTTTTAAAAAATATACATTTTAGGGTATTTACGACACATATACTAACATAAGTAGCACAGAAATACACGAAAAGACAGTTTTTTTTAAAAAATTATTATGCATTTAATTTACTGGAAGGCGTTATACTTCAACATCCTTAACATATCTGGCTTTGCATTTAAACTATTATTTTCAAAAATTAGTATTTTGTTAAACTTTGTGAAGTGAAGTTGTTCCTAACGTGGAAGAAAGGCAAGCATTGAATTCTGTAACATTCATACGAAAACATCACTTGATATGTCTACTCTCGTCTTAAGTTTTGGTAAAATAGAGCAATAAACCATCGTTTTCAGAATAAACTAACTCACAGAATAGTGGTCTTTAAAGACGTGCAACATTTTTCAAAACTAAACAGTTTTCTAATGCAAAATTAACTGAATTTAAACAATAGTTTTAAAAATTATACAATGAAGTATCTTTTTAAGTTGAAAAAAACTGTAAAAGAAAGAATCCCAGAAGAAAAAAAACTAGGTGTGACTGCATAAGATATTTCTCTCTCCTTCTTCGCATGCCTTTGTGGTGTAGTGGTCAGCACACTCGGCGCGTATTCCAGAGGTTCGTGTCCCGGCGAGGGCATTGCTCATTTGTCATCTCTCCTGCTTCGAAATAACTTAATGTCTCTTCAGTAGCGCACGAACTAAAAAGAGTGGGTGAATGATGATTCTTCACCACTAGGATTTGGTGAATGGGTCTCCTAATCCCCAGTCGCTCTTTAAAAGGGGGAGTATATAAGCTATTTCTCCCGCTTTCTTAGCATACCTTCATGGTGTAGTGGTCAGCACACTCGGCGCGTATTCGACAGGTCCGTGGTTTGAGTCCTGAAAACGGCACTGCTCATTTCTCATCTCTCCTTCTTTCAAAAAGTACCTAATGTCTCTACCAACTGAATGAAAAATCCGTTTGAGTATTATGATAAATCAGGTGTTTTGCCAAAGAAGGAAATGGGCGTTAAAATCTAAATTTAAGAAAGAGCTGCTCCTAAAATTTTGGTTGCAGATTCTCGCAGAATAGTCGTAAGTTTTTCACATAGCTATAAACATTTTAACATTTTAATGCCATTAGGAAGAACGTATTTAAGTTAAAAATCTTTCTCGTGTGGCCACAAAAACAAAATACAGAAACGCATTTTATACAGAATATAAAATGCGACCGCAGACAACATGAGTAGAGCAGCTAGACTTTGCCAGTTTGTGTAAACAAAAAAACAAAAACAAAAAAATGCAAGCACATCCAGGTAAGGCCAGAGTAGGTGACACCTCGAGCATCAGGTTAATGCTATTAATGAGTAAATTACATTAATTTCACGTTAAAATTTTTTAATGAAACGTGCTGTACTTTTGTTTCATTCTCTTTACATAAAGTACCTATAACATGTTGATCTACCTTAAATATCATTTCATAATGTATTTTTCTAAGGGTGGAATGGGATTTCTCGATAAAAACCTTACAGTTCTAAGGTCTCCCTGAGTCGGCATAAAAATCTGAAAAACCACTGTAATAGACTTTCATACCTGAAATCATAGAAATTTTGATTATGGGATGTCATGGGTATGATGATGTAATTTAACGAATCTTTCAATGCGAAAAAACGTCATGTATCAATAATTCCTACAGCAATGCTTCTTTTGCAGTTCTACGTCTTAGCTCATGTTCCAAACAGTGCTTAATGATAATAAATGTTATATTGATTATGAGGCATTTCCTGTTCTTTTATAAAGGAAAAGCCAATGTGGAAAACATAATTGGAATTATGAATTTATATTGTAAGATTTCTTAGAACCACCATTCCTTCTTTACCTCTGGCAGAAGAGGGTTTAGAGATGGACACTTACTTAATCTTTATCCGTACTGTGGTTGTTGATACTGTAAGGATTTTAAGTTTTACTAACGTTTATTTTATTTTAAAACTTTGCTATTTCTTATTTTCCACTTCCGGTAAACCTTTATATCATCTCCTTGTGCTCATTGTCATGGTATAAACGGTTAACATATCAAGAACCATACAACTAAAAGATTCAGAGTTCGAATCTTTGCAACGGAATAGTTGATTTTTTATGCTTTTTATTTCTTTACTAAATCAGGTGTTCCCTACTCTTTGCTTGTATCCACCCACTTACGTTTTTTTTTCTATAATATACACTTTACAGCATAATCATAATACAAATAATTGCAAATAAATAAATTAAGATAAAGATAAAATAAAAATTTGAAAAAAAATTAGAAAAAATTGTTTATTAGATTTACTTTTTTTCATATTTTTATTAATTAATTTTACAAATATAAACAGGTTTTCAGAAACAAAATCACAGATTGATTTGCGCAAAAACTAGATTTTAATTTATATGATGGCGGTATTTAATATACTGATGCGAATTTTTTAAAAATTTGGCATAAAACTGCTTAACTTAATTCTTAAATCAACCTCTCTCAGATGTATTCAGACTGCTTTTTGTTTTCCGCTGAAAATAATTGACTTGACTCCTGAGCGGTAAGAAGAGGTTTGGCTTACTTGTTAATGGCAAAGGCCTCGAAGACTTTGTGCCTAAGAGGAGGGGACACCTTCGTGGAGGACTTTCTAAGGAAACTGTCTAGTATCCACGTTGCACATAGGGCCCGTGCAACCAGCCCAATTTCCTGAAATCAAACCAAGGTCAACTACTAGTGTTCAGCGACGTTACCATCCAGTGGCTGGTGGGCAGGTAAGAAGAGGAAGTAGTTAATAATAATGCTGATTGGGTAATAGCTTTTATTTTGAGATAATTCTCTAGGATGACTGTTAAATTCCAAAACTTTGTGTATCCCTGTGTTTTGAATAAGACTTGTGCTTGAATATTTTACTTCACAGCAATAAACTTTTCTTGCAATATAATATCAACATCAGATGTATTGCAGTTTAACAATTCTATGCGAGAATCATTTGGAGTTGCATCAAAGGAAAGAGCAGATGTTTCGAATCTGTTGTTATATGCCGCTGATCTATTATTGGCGTTACATTGAACTACTTGGCGGCAGTTTCACAACCGATGAGGTAATACGTAAGTTTAAATTCACAGTTTCTTTGTATCATACAACCGCTGCTCCTTGAAGGTATTAGCTAGTTCAGTCCAGTGACTTTTTCAATTACTGCCGAGAGGTATCGCAGTATCGTTACAAGTTTGACATACTAGGCTATTGCAGGACTTGCGCGTGACATAATTTAACGAGTGCCAAGGTGATTAGGCCTGCGTTTGCCGCTAAATGGTTAACATCTTCACCTGATTTGACCCCACTCCAGATTTCGGCTGTAATATTTTTCCGACTGAGCTTATCAAAAACTATACCATTTGACATAACTGCTAAAAGGTGGCTTTACGCAATCTTTAAACAACATCTTTCTAGATCAATTGTCTTGTGCACTTTGCCTAAATTCTCTAATGTTGAACACATAGGGCAAAGGATG